TCAATATTAAAGAACAAGGTCCACTTAGGGCCTTTTTTGGCCCTGTGAATTTCAGAAAAACTGAAACTTCTTTGACAATGCATTAAATATCATTTAGACCTTTGATGACTGCGTATCTATCAAAATGACGTAATTTTCTGGCTAGCCAATGCATTATGACGTCATGAAATGCGACATTTTCCTCATATCGTGAAAAATTCTACAAAACAAACCAATTTTTAAAGCTAATTTTTCGATATTTAATATAGAGCGTAACCTCTGATCTTAAATATGCAACTATAAAATGATAGAACTTTTTCTGAGGATTACAAAACCTGTTTTATTATTTAGATCAGAGGATGCAATCATATTATTTCTCTTCTTTCTTTTTTAAGCTAAAACTTGCATCACTTGATTGCATCTCTTTCGCTGTTTTGAAATATGTTAGATTCCACCGGAAATAAAACGTCAACTTCCGGTCTATTGCTCGGCAACAGTAAACGATTGAGGTCTGAAACTTTCAGGACTGATAGTCAGTGATCAGTTTATTTGAATCGTGACAAAATCTTGTATCGCCGTTACTTCCGGTCGTGACAGAAAGTAATGCAAATAAGGGAATGGTTAATGGTTAGCACGTTGGATTTTCAGGCTGACGACGAGGGTTAAATCTCCAGAGTGTCTGAATTTCTTTTATCACTTTTTCAGTTTGAGTTTTCTTTTTTTCAGAATCGGACGGAAGACCTCTCATTGCTCGCAATGAGTTTCTAGTTCTTTAGTTCTCTTTTGAGGCATTGTGTTTATCAAATAAAAACAATATACCCACCACCTTGTAAAATCATTGATTTCCAACCCCGTCTAGCCAAAAAAAAATGTAATCAATAGTCGCGGCTCTTAACAGTACATTAACAATACATTCAATATACATTAAATTTTATACATGTCCAATGACCAAAAACTAAAAAATTATGCTCTAGAACTGCGTGATTAATAAAACAAATAATACATAATTATTCAGGATTTATTTCTTTATATGTTTTTTATTCACAAATACACTGGCAAATTAATTCACTGTTTACAGACAAACGGTTAAATTTAAGAAATAAAATCCACGGGTATTTATTTGTACCCATTAAATACTAATAAAACAATTTAATTCATGAATTATTGTCGGTTGTCATCTTCGCCATGATTGACAAGAGCTAATACATGTAGCAGAACACGTTTTCAGTTCCCGGCACGTGGATCCCGTGATCAGTGTTGTAAATGACCTTAATCACAGTCGTAAGAAGTGTTAGAAGTGTAAAGAAGATTTCAATATAATTTTAAGGGGTGCATCAGGCATTTTTAAAAGAAAATTATTTATTAAAATGTGTTAACAAAAACTCAAAGTTTGTGTTTTCATTTGACCCCCCCCCCCCCCCTCCCCCCCGGAAATATTTAACCCTATATTTGCCAATGCATGAATTATGATTCCTTTATATGACAATTATTAATCAACCAATTTTATGCATAAAAAGACTATATATGACTCATCGTTTCAAAATTATTTGTATCACAATCTTGTAATATAAGAAAATTTTGTTCGTTTATAAAGAACAAAAATTGTGTTCCCCGGCCTAGAATTCCCATACTCCACATTTATAGCAACGCACTAAATTTTGTGTTTTATTTTTCACGCCTGCCTTATCTATCTATTATTTTGTATTAATCACCCACATGTTCTTGTAATCTCTATATACCATAATTGTAAAATGATGAAGAGATTCTAATAAATGAATGAAAAGGACAAGACCGGATTCCTGATGAATTTTCTTTAAAAAAAATATTCTGTATTGCTCCCTTTAAAAAATGTATTGAATCAAATACCTTAACATTGCAGGGATTTATCAGCTTATTTTGGGAAACGCCATTTTAAGGGAATTGGGAAAAAATTATCGACTTTATGATGAAATTGGGAAAAATAAAAACCTTGCTAACATTATGTATTCAGGTGTAATTCATTTAACATTTTAGCATGAACTCTAATTTGAGCATGCAACCAAACAGACAATTAAATATCCAACTTCATCATACAAGATCAATTATGATAATGAATAATAGACTAATAACCTAAATTTGATTTCAATGGGTATAAAGTATTTTTACAACTTAGGGTAGTACATGTGTGTATGAGATTCCAATTTAGGTGATTAGAATCTGTTTCCGGAGATTAATCAGATTATAAACCTCCTGCAAAAAATTATACTACATGTAAGTACACATTTTCTCAAAGTCCCAATTGCATTGAAAATATATTTTTCCATCTGAAATATATGCCTACAGTTCTTACCATTCACTCGTAGATCAATTGACTCGGTGTAAATAGCTTAATAAATCTATATTATTACACAATATCATCATTTTCAGAAAAACGGAGGAAATTCGGATTAAAAGTCGGCGATGTTTGCTTACAATGTTTTTCAACATGTTATGACTGTAGCTTTGCTAAATGAGATAAATAGAGGAAAATTACAGACAATCTGACAATTTTACTGAGTTTTTCCCAAGATAATTAAATACAAAAGCATTGTTCACCAATTGGGAAAAAATACTGCCAAATTGGGAAAAATTGAAGTCATTTTCAATTGGGAATGGGGCCGAATTTCGGCCCCTGAGAAGGTACTGATAAATCCCTGCATTGATGTACATTAATTAATTACTTTTAACATATTTTCTTTCCATCATTATGTAAATAAAATAGAAAGAAAATCAAACCAATATGAAATACATTACCGAGTAATTTTATTTTGTTGTTTCCGTACATGTATTTTTTTTTCCCTTAAAATATCACCGGTATGATATATCAGAGTTACAAACAACACAGAATGACATGTTAATTCATCAATAGCCATATTTAAAATAAAATGACTTCCAAATGAATCTTTCTCACACGATTCTTGCACGAAAGTCGCACGTTTCTCACACAGTTCTTACACGAAAGTCGCACATTTCTCACACGCTTCTCGCATGCTCGCTACACGGTTTGCACGAAACGCTTTAGAGCTTACATGAAACGCTGCAAGGTTTACACGAAACGCTACACGGTTTGCATGAAACGCTGCATGGTTTACACGAAACACTACACGGTTTGCACGAAACGAAAAGTGCACGAAAGTCACACGCTTTTTGGGGTAGCAGCATGTTTCAGGGTCTGTATTATTGCAGTGCTTTGTCGGTTATTCCAGGTTATTCCACTGTTATTTCACCAAAAACCTGTTATTTCACCATTTTGTGTCACCCTTTAACTTAGAATGTTATATCATTAAAATGATATTGTTCTATGGACCTGGTTTAACAATAAAATGTTTTCCATGTGTTGGCAATGTAGCAAAATAAATTGGGGCAGATAATTCTAATGTACATGTTTACTAAGAATAATCCAGCGAGTTCCAAATGACAATATGGCAAGAAAAAAAGGTGAGAAAATGAGTCCATATTTCCTCTTTGTATAGATTTTTTAAGGGTAAAAGGCATGTACAAGCCTGAAGCTCAAAAAGGTTTGTTATGATTAATTTGGCAGTTATTTTCAGTGCAATTCATTTATTCTTCAAAATTGTTTCATAGCGGATCTGCTCCAATTTGCTACATTGCAACTATATGGGACATATTTTAACTGTGGTGAGGACTTGTCAGTTAGATTATTCAACTAAATCTAACTACTGTATGTGTACTTTAAAAAGCGGGCTTCATATTTTTAGTGGCTTTTGTGCACACAATGATGCACTAATTCATGATTTCCATTAATAAATGAATACAACAGCGAGCTTTGTCAATTCATGCTCCTGTGTCCAACTATCCAGTCTCTCTGTGTGGCCTACTAAATCTTTGACGCTTTATATCTGAAAAGAGAAATATTTTGATAAGCAATATTGAACAAAGGATGTTCAGAATAATGTTATAAACAATATGCACCCTTTTAATTTTTGTAAAACGGCCCCAATCAGGACTTGATTGGCTGGCCTCTTAATGTTTCTCATTTAAATATCTCGGAAAAAAGAAGGAATTTCTGAATAGTTGTTGTAAAGAAAGTGTTCAGAATTATTAGAGCTTTCATCTAATTTCAAGAAAAAAAGGACTGATTCCTTAAGCAAAGGACCCAAAAGAGCTGAATATCTTTAATCTACAATTCCGTAACAATTTACATGATTTATGTTGTATGAACAAAAAGTGTAACAATTTAAATTTTTATGATTATAAATGTCTCAATATCAATGTCAAAATCATATCTCATCTGAACAAAAATTGGAAGGAAGACCTACTCGTTGCTCACATTGAGATCTCATTAGTTATGTCACCCCGAACGAAGACGTGGAGACATGGAGACATATTGCTATTGTACGCACAATAACTTTGGCGTTAGAATGAAACTTTACAGACTGAAATAAAATTCACCACCCTAGTTTTGCAGGTATATATAAAATTTTCAAAGTTTGTCGCTTGAGACATGGAAAGAACAAATAACTTAAGAAATGTTGCTGTCACATAACCATTGTATGCTATCAGAAGTTTCTTTTTAAAAATCACTTTTCCACTCCCTCCCCAATATATTTTTGTAGGATGTACGTATTTGCAGTTTCTTGATACGATTCAGAAAGATTGGATTAAAAGTTACTGAGAAAGATGAAATTTTAAAAATACCACTTTTTGTCAGTTTCCATGGCAACAGTAGCCATTTTGAAAATTTTGAATAAGGATTGCACAATTCTTTAGTTGGTGATCATTATGACAGTGAAGTTTCATCAAGATTGACCAAGCCATCGTCGAGAAATTGTGCAGACAGCATTATTGGTCGAAAAACAGCAATATAGCTCCCAGATTTCGTTCTGGGTGACATAATTATAAGAAACAGAGTAAAAACATGTTCCCAAACTTCATTTGGGGAACACAACTAGTTACGTTTTGTTTAGTATAGAAAGTTACAATTTTTTATATATGCACACAATGTATTAATCTGATTTTTCCATTTTTAAATCTATTATCAGCCTGGGAGTGACAGTGAAAATGACTTATGGGATGATACAGCATTAATTAAAGCATATGACAATGCTATCAGCATAGTTAAGGTAAGACTGATTAGTGTTTTAACAGAACTTTAAAGGAGGTGGGCATTTTTGCCCCCTGCTTTTACTAGAATGAGGAATATATTAATTTGGGTCTGTTTGTCTATCCATGTATCTGTCTGACCATCATTCTGTCTGTATTGAAACTTTCTTTAGGTCACCTTAGTCACTCACCCCTTTTGATTTTGAGACCAAAAGGTCAAATATCAAGGGTACAAATTTATATATATTATGAAATGGTACACTTCACGTTCTGGATAATATCTCAGAAACTACTTAAAATCTTTTGTAATGAAATTTCATGTGATTCTCTAAGTCAAAGGTCAAGATCACAAATTCATAATTGATAAAAAGTTACTATAGGATAATGTAAGAATTTCAAATTGCTATGAAAGTAATTTTATGTATACATACATACATATGCCCATCATGATCGTAGAAAGATATACCGGGTAAACTTTACTCTTGAACACTGCTGTTAATATTTTTTCAAGGTATTTTTCAGTGCCCTCTCTTTGCATAATGTTCCTGTTCTCATCTTGTGTTGTCTTAATGTCACTTTGAATATAGGCTCATATAAACAATGAACAAGGTTTGACAGATGAGGAAAAACCAGTCATAACAGATAAGAAACGCAGAGGTGGCAAAAGAAAGAAGAGACATAGAAAAAAAAAGCAGGTAATAAAAAATTCTCCAACATGTAATATGTTTTTTTGTTTTTTTTAGAAAGTGCTTAATTAGCCTAAATTTTTAAAATTTATTGTTATTTTAATTTTTTTATGGCAATGTAATTTGAAAATACTTTGAAGATAAAGACTTCAGATTTAAATTATTAATGTTCATTAGTGATAATAATTCAGTCTGTTGAATGATAGATCTAAAGAAAATGGGGAGGGTAATTTTTCAACAGAAGGAGCAGTGTAATTTGTAAACATGCTGTTAGATGTTTGTTACAATTTTAAAAGCATCAACTTCTGTCATAAAAGAATATATAAATACTGCATGTAGTAACATTGAAAAATTTTCATCCCAAGAAAACCATTTATCAAGTGAGGTGCAACTGGGGTTATCATAATGGTTTTTGAGGGGTGAAAATTTCAATATTACTCTCAATTACATGCAGTATCTATTATATCATACTAAATGTTTTATATGAATACTAATAATGGTGAACTATGCATGCATAGATTTCACGCAGTCAACATTTAAAGTTCACCTGAGCTGAAAGCTCAAGTGAGCTTTTCTGATCACATTTTGTCCAGCATCTGTCCATTCATCTGTCTTTCTAGCTGTCCATCCATCTGTCAGTCTGTAAACTTTGAACATTTTCAACTTCTTTCAAGAACCATTGGGTCAATTTCAACCAAACTTGCCACAAAGCAAGCCTAAGTGAACACACCTCTTTGAAAAATTATTGAAAATTTAATGACATCTTTCAAATTTCTTCTGCTCAAGAACCACTGGACCAGAAAAGGTGTCATGATAGCTTCATTACATACTGAAGATTCATGTTAATTTTATTCATATATATATATTATATATATACATGTATATATTGGGAATGGCAATTTGTAATTCGTTAACCGGTTACTCGGTCGGAACGATGCTAATCGGTTAGAAAATTCGTAATCGATTAGTCGGGAAAAAAATAATACTTGAACAAACTTTCCTGAAATTTTAATTAAAAAATACAAATAAAAATATCTTATATTTTAGCATTTTCACCTTTCTATTTAAGCCGATTAGGAGATAATCAAGGCTCTCCAGATGAACATTGTGGGGTGTAATTAGTCAGTTTTTGATATGTTAATTGCTGTTTAAACAATGTACAACAATCCCCTACATGCATCTGCCCCATATTTCTGTAATGATTTTAATTAAATGATCGTTGAGTACTGTGATTATAGTGTGTACTTACCTTTTCTATCCTTTGCAGTCACCTTAGTATCAAATTATATTATTAAACTAACATTGTAAATTAAGTGATAATTTAGATGTAGTTTTGGTGCTTATAGTGACAATACATAATAATGAACTTGCATGACAACTGATGAAATTTCATGCAACTGATACACTAGGTGTGTCTCATGCCTGATTTCTTATTTATTTATTTTTTGCCTATTAAACAATTTTTAAATTGAAATAATGTAGAATATACTGTATACAGTTTATCTGATAAAATAAAAACATATTATTACTACATCTTACATTCATATAGTCTTGTTAATGTTTATTTCTGCTGAGCTTTGAATGATGAGAATTTGTTTTTTGATACAATTAACTGATTAATCGGTTGGAATGTCTTACGGTTAACCGATTTGCAATTCTGAATTCTGTAATCAACTGCCATCCCTAATATATATATATATATATATATATATATATATATATATATATATATATATATATATATATATATATATATATATATATATATATATATATATATAGTGAAGTGTAGATTCAACTTTGTTCAAATCATAGCCCATGAAAGGAGGGATGGGGCTGTGATCAAAGTTTTACATAGGAATGTATAGGGAGAAAAATCTATTAATGAAGAACAGCAGGGCCATAATGATTCAGGTGAGCATTGTGGCCCATGGGTGTCTAGTTTTTGGAATTTCCCTATCAATAAGTAATAAGTAATGTTGACTGTTGCTTTGTTCTATCACTCTTAATTCACTCAAGATTTCATCATTTTGAGGGTAAGAGTGTTTTTATGAAATGTGTCTCGACATATCAAATTCAACTAAATTACAAGAAAGTATAGTAATGAAAGATTTTGACTAAACAATGACATGATAATTGCATTTCAAAGTATAGTTTTAAGATTTAAATGTATGTTTACCTAGATTAGTGCACTCAAGATTTAGCACAACCTTTGTTATGACCACTAATTACTTGAACTTTGAGCAGAGCTTTAGCCTTGAATTGTACTGGTATTTGTTTAAACCATGCTGTAGCATTTTCTTGAACTGGCAGACAAGAAGCAATGAAGAGGGTGCTAAAATATGATTATTGATAAACTAAGTATATTAACAGTAATGGGTAGGAGAGAGAAGTTAACATTTAACACACACACACACACACACACACACACACACACACACACCTATATATATATATATATCTTTCATTGATGAAGTGGAAGCCTGGAGATCAGTGCAGGGCTAAAATATGATTATTGCTAAACTAAGTATATTAACAGTAATGGCTAGGAGAGAGATTAGTTAACATTTAACACAGACACATACACCCTCACACACACACCCTCACACCCACCCACCCACCCACCCACCCACACACACACATATATATATATATATATATATATATATATATATATATATATATATATATATCTTTCATTGATGAAGTGGAAGCCTGGAGATCAGTGCAGGGCTATTTTTTCTGAGGATGGATTAGTTTATGATGCAGAGATACTCTCAGTGGATCAGTCGACTAGGACCTGTATTGTTAGATATAGAGGTTATGGAAATGAAGAGGAACAGATTCTAGACAACTTGAGATCTGCCCCAGGTAGAAGATCACAGCAACAGAAACTGTCTGCTGGGGAGGTGTGAAAATTTTTTCTAATTTCATTTTTTGCTTAATAATTGAATGATAAAAGAAAACAATACCATTAATTCAGTGAAAAATATTTTGGAAAAAAATAAAGTTACTGCAGTAATTGCTATTTTACAAAAGATTTGCAACTCAAATTATGTTCGAGATTTCTGTGCTTTGTTGTTCCCCACTTTCATGGAAAGTGTGGTGGGTTACAATTGGGGATCAAAGTTTTACATAGGAATATATAGGAAATAAATCTTTAAAAATCTTCTTCTCAGGAACAACAAAGCCTTGTTTAGTCATATTGATGTGGAAGCATCCTCAGGTAGTAAAGTTTCAAGTTTGTTCAAGTCATGACCCCCGGGGGTAGGGTGGGGTCACAATGGGGGATCAAAGTTTTACTTAGAAATATATAGGGAAAAAAGCTTTAAAAATCTTCTTCTCAAGAACAGCAAAGCCTTGTTTAGTTATATGGATGTGGAAGCAATCTCAAGTAGTGTGGATTCAAGTTTGTTCAAATGAGGACCCCCAGGGGAAGGATGGGGCTACAATAGGGGACCAAATTTTTACAAAGGAATATACAGGAAAAAAATCTTTAAAAATCTTTTTCTCAAGAATGGGGGATCTAAGTTTTACTTAGGAATATATAGGAAGAAATCTCAAGAACAGAAAAGCCATGTTTAGTCATATTGATGTGGAAGCATCTTCAGGTAGTGCAGATTCAAGTTTGTTCAAATGTGGACCCCTTGGGGGAAGGGTTGGGCCACAATTGGGGATCAAAGTTTTACATTGAAATATATAGGAAAAATCCTCTTTTTCAAAAGAACAGAATTGCCATGTTTAGTCATATTGATTTGGAAGCATCCTACACAACTGGCTCAGACATTTCAACCACTGTTTACAACATTGTTTGGGGTGTTCATTGTGATCACCGTGCCGCTGCACATGCATTGACCCTCCGGTGAATACAGCTTCAAATCCAGTGAATATTATACAATTCATTACCCCATTTGAGGCCAACATGGTGAATGTGGCCTGGGTCAGGTCAGATCAGCGAGTTGACGAGGAAATATAGTTCCTTACTTAGTACTTCTTGTATGGAATTCATCATGGGTTTTTAAATTGATATTTTTAAATTGGAATTATAGAATCCAAATTCATTGTACAAACTAAAATATGATGCTGCAGAGTTCCAGACAAGAATCTGCTCAAACACTCAAGATCGAACCTCCTTCAGGGTTTTCAATAAGAATTAAAATAGCAGGGGACATTAAAATAGTAGAAAGGGGTTTGGGTTTTCTCCCCTAACATGGGGTTGAGGGGGAATATCAGAATAACAGGGAAATTATAGGCAGGGGAAATTTCCAAGTTCCTGGGTCCTAGAGACAACCCTATTCTTAATAAATGTCCTTTCCTTTTTAATAAGAATTTATGCTTCATTAATTTTTATGCCCCCCTTTAAAGAAGGAAGGGCATATTGCTTTGCTGCTGTCTGTCAGTAGGTCGGTCTGTCTGTCTGTCCACCAACAGTTTCCATTCATTTTCTTCACAGAGGTTGCACATACTGAAATAAAATTTGGTATACAGATTTATCATAGGAATATCTAGACAAAGTTCTGTTTTGGATACGAACAACCAATTTTTGACAGAGTTATGCCCCTTGGACTTAGAAAAATTCCAATTTTTTGCTGTTTCCGTTCATTTTCTTCGCAAAGGTTGCACATACTGAAATGAAATTTGGTATACAGGTTATCATAAAAATATCTAGGTCAAGTTCTGTTTTGGATACGAACAACCAATTTTTGACAGAGTTATGCCCCTTGGACTAAAAAAATTCCAAATATTTTTTTTGGGGGGGGGGGGGCATTAGTGTTTCACAAACATCTCTTGTTTTAAATTTCAGACTGGTACTGAATTTATTATATAAAAATACACATATGAGAAAACAATGGGGCCAGAAGCTCACCTGAACATTTTATGCTTAGTTTGATACATGTGTATTTATGTGAATCATAGAATACCTATTGTGGATTTTTAATAGTTATACCCAGATTAGAAGAATACATTTATGACAGCATCTAATTAAACATTATGGCTGGTTGGGTATAGTTTTTGTTGAAGAATTTAAACATATAAACAAACGTTTGTAATGAATTGTGAACCATTGCTTTCTTATAGAATTGTAAAACTATCCAAAATTGAAATTGAGAAGTGTACGTCTGACAACTGACTTGAGAAAATAGATACAGTTTAACTTCATCATCTCAAATACCTTTATCTTGAATACTAGGGATATGTCAAAGTTAGTTTGCAGTTCTAACTACTAATTTTATGTTTTTATGTACTTATTGTTTTTGTTGATCTTCTTCTTTTTCATCCAAATTTTGTCTGTCGCTAATTAAATACCCTTTGACATTAAGACTTCAGACTTGGAACATAGATGGATGACACTGAGAAAAAGTGCATTTTACCAAAGTGTTTGACCTTGACCTATTTATCTTTTACATCAAAATAGAGTCCAGGCCATAACTTGAGATCCCTTTGATGTTAGGGCTTCAAATTTGTAACATAGAAAGAAGACATTGATACAAGATGCACTGCATCAGAATTTTGACCTTGACCTCTTTCTTTCTTCAAAGTCAAATAGAGAAAAAACATAATTTGACCATAACTTAAGAACCCTTTGATATTAAGACTTCAAACTTGGATCATGAAGAGGTGGCATAGAGGAGGGGTGCATGCCATCAAAATGTTTGACCTTGATCCAATTATTATAAGGTCAAAGTCAATCTTTTACATCAAAATACAGTCCAGACCATAGCTTGAGTACCCTTTGATATTAGGATGTCAAACTTGTAACATAGAAAGAAGACATTGATACAATATGCAAAATTTTTATCTTGACCCCTTTCTTCCTTCAAGGTCAAATAGAAAGAAAAAACTTGATTAGACCATAACTTGAGAACCCTTTTACATTAAGACTTCAAACTTGGAACATGGAGAGGTGGTATAGAGGAAGGGTGAATGTCATCATTTTTTTCCCCTTAACTTATTAATAAAGTCAAGGTCAATTTTTTTACATGAAAAAATAGTCCAGGTCGTAACTTGAGAACATTTTGACATTAGGATTTCAAATTTTGAACAAGGAAAGAGAACATTAAGACTAAATGCATTGCATCAAAATATTTGACCTTGACTGCTTTCTTCATTGAAGTCAAATGAAACAAAACACGACCGGACCATAACTTAAGATCCTTTTGACATGAAGACTTGAAATTTTGTACACAGATCAAGAAATTTGAGCTGAGATGCACTGCATTATTATTTTTGACCCTGATCGTATTATTGCACTCGTTAATGTTGGTAAAGAAGAGGAGACATATTTTTTTTTGGTAAAAAAAAAAAACAAAAAAACAATACCCACTAGTTCTTTATGTTTTTTACACTGGTTATCTTGAATCATCGGATATCTCAAAGTTTAATCTGGGCCCTGTGAAGTTTGAAATAATGAGGTTTGACTGTACTTGATTAAAGTGACCATAGCTCTTACACACTATGTTGCAGGCTGGAAGCTTAGCAGATAGCATGGACTGGTGTGGACAGAGATCAGATGCTTCCAGCAAAGATCCCAACATTACACATGGTAGCAAACATCATCATCACAAATCAGCTCAGAGTGGAGGATCTCCATGGCCTGGTGTACCCCCAGTGCCAACTTTTCCTGTCCATGTAAGTATATGTACATTAAAATGAGGAGTCGATGTTTGAAATTTGTAACTGTTTTAGGAGATAGATAATAACATCAAGTTGAAGAGTTCCTTTTTAGCTCACCCGAGCTGAACGCTCAATTGAGCTTTTCTGATCACATTTTGTACATCTGTCTGTCTGTCACATTTTCAACCTCTTCTCAAGAACCACTGGGCCATTTTCAAGCAAACTTGCCACAAATCATTTTTGGGTGAAGGGAATTTAATTTTTTTTTTCAAATGAAGCATACTACCCTCTTTCAAGAGGAGATAATTAAGAATTGGTGAAAATTCTCCATCTGACCATCCATCTAGTAGATTTTTCACATTTCCAACCTTTTCTCAAGAACCACTAGACCATTATCAATGAAACTTGTCACAAAGCATTCATGGGTGAAGGAAAATTTACTATATTTAAATGAAGGGCAACACCCTCTTTCAAGGAGAGATAGTTAAAAATTAGTGAAAGTTTAAAGTCATCTTAAAAAAATTTCTTCTCAAGAACCACTGGGGAAGAAAAGATGAATCTTCAAAGAAAGATTTATTACATAGTGTAGATTCAAATGTGTTTAAATCATGACCCCTGGGGTAGAATGGGGCCAGTGGGCATTCAAAGTTCCACATGTTAAATGTGAAGATAAAGAACAGTGATCAATCTCATAAATCCAGTAAACAAAATGAATCATGAAAAGGCAAAAACAGAGACCCTGGAAAAAGCAGATGTGGGATAAGGTGCCTAGGAGGAGTAACCATCCCCTGTTGACTGGTCTCACCCATTGTGAGCCCTATGTATTGATTAGGAATGCAGAGTAATCCATAGTCAAATTTCATATAAAAGCAATGACTTATTAATTGATATCAAAATTTCAGAAAAAATGCCACCCAGCAATAGAGGTTGTATTAACAAACAAGGTCATTTTAACAACCATAGAATTTGTGAAAAGCTGACTTTAAATTGGTTTGTTGAAATCCTTGTATAAACATCAACTTATTGCTGGACAAGCCTCTATTAATTTGTAGACTATTGAGAGAAGTTATTCCCCTTTGCTGTTCACTTATGATAATTAATCACTGTAGGTGATGTATTTGGAAGGTCAGTTGAATAACAGAATTATACAACAATTTTGATAATATATATATTACATTTTCAACAGTGAAATACTGCAATTTATTTATTGAATATAAGTGATATTCTCTCACAGTGTGAAAGGATATCAAAGTGATATTCTCTCACAGTGTGAAAGGATATCAAAGTAAGTAAAAAATAATTTCTGGTCTGTGATAAGGTAGAGATAGTAACTAAACCATCTTGATAGAGACTAAAACTGCCAATTTCTTCCCAAGTATGTTGCTAAAATCCATGTACAACATTTTCAATCACAAAACTGCTAAGCTATGACGTCTCAACTGCTCAACTGATGTTACAGCCTATGACACTGTGTTAAGAAAAGACAGAGGAAAAGGGAAAATCAAAGAAAATGTAATAAACAGAAAATTCAATGTTTTGTAGTTGGATAGGGAATTAATTTCATGAGTGCTTTGCACTCATGAAAATATAACAAAAAATCTGTCCCATTCTTGAAATAAATTCCCTAGGTCAAAATAAAATTATTGTTTGTTTGCCTCATTGAAATGACCCCTCCTGGAAAAATTTTATTGACCAAAAATAAGAAGATTTTTTTATGCATTCAATTCTTGGCCTGTTACCACATGTGCCACCCAATCACGTACAGACCCTAAAACATGCTACTACACCTCAGAAACGAACCGTACCGTTCTGTGCAAGAAGCATATTGTACCGTGCACAAAGCGAACCGTACCGTACAAAAAATGAACCGTACCATGCAAGAAGCTTACCATACCGTGCACAAAGCGAACCGTACCATACAAAAAACGAACCGTACCATGCAAGAAGCGTACCGTACCATGCACAAAGCGTACCGTACCATACACAAAACGAACCATTCCGTGCAAGAATCGTACCATACCATGCGTAAAGCGAACCGTACCGTTCATGAATAATTTTTGAAATAATTATGCAAGCCACGCCCTGAAAGCATTCCGAATCTTGCAATGACCAAATACAGTAAGTAATTTTCTTTTATTTCTTTCGACGCAGCACCCGATAAAGAAGGACGGAAAATAACCCCCGAGATTCAAAATATTATTATTAAGTACCATGCATCTGGACTTACATCTGTTAATATTTATAAGGAAACTACTTAAAACTAGTTACGACTTCAAAGCAACTCGACAGAGTGAGAGGCGATTCTTTATTCTCTATGCATGATCAGGTTGTGCTTGACTAACTTTTTTTTTTCATATTAAATGCAACATCGTAATATTTTCGTGTACCATATATAATAAATAAAAGTGAACTAAATACTTAATCGTTTATTTCTAAAGCTTTTATCTACCCTATTCTTGTCTCTATGAACATTCTCGGAACCCAAGACATTGAAAAATATATATTAGTATTCTGTGCTATTTTCCGATATCAAGCCCTTAAAATCATTTTTTATTCATGTAAGTAATAGTTTTAGGGAGAAATGATTACAGATTTAGCAACAACAACAACAACAACAAATTCAAAAAAAAAATTATGAACTAAATTGTCAATTTGAAAGCGGACATGTTAAAATGTAAACGCCTCTTAATCACTAGAAAAAAAAACAAATAAAAGCGATGTATATATAAATAATGTGTGTTGGTTTACACTCTTCTAACCAACTGAAGATGTTATCACCAAAAACTGTCAAAAAGTTCGATCACCACATTTTCGCATGGAATTTTCAGTTTAATACACGTAATCAAAAAACAAATCTGGATATATGTCATAATTGATTTTTATTTAAAGCATTTTCCCATTTCATTTGCTTTCTTAACTGAAACCTGCAGGTAAAATATGTTACCTGGAATTACACATAAAGCATAATTACACATAAAGTTTAATCTTTTTTTTTAAATGCTTAGTCTGTGCATGCGTGTTCATCCGAGTTTTTTTTTAAGAAACACTGTACATTTCTTGCCATGGTCTCGTTATCTAGACTGATGTCTTTCTATACTTTTGTTATTTTCTCTAAAACATTTGAAAATTTCGATCAAGTATTGTCATCACATGTGCCCAGGTAAAAACTTAAGCTATGTATTATTGAACTGTATCTAATCCTGTTAGTCCAGATATGCCTACATTCACACGTGTATCAACAGTTTGCTGTCTTAAACAGTAAGTCTACAACAATGAACCAGTTTTAATCAGCAGATTAACAGAATTTCCTGGGCAGTCAGCTTTTCTTGTAGATCTTCAATAAAAAAAAGTTTGAGATTGACAAGGGGGGGGGGGGGGAGGGTAGCACCCTGCATGGGCAAATTATTCATTTTCAAAGTTTTTGAGGACATGCATGCCTGCATATTATTTATTTTCTAGGTAATTGAAAACGGACTAATTATTTCTAACACATTGACAATCATATCATTTATTTCGGAAATCTGTCTTTGCATTCAACATATATATTACAGCTAAACTTCGAAATCTCGAACACTGATATCTCGAATACCCTGGATATGTCAAAGTAAGGCTGCGGTCCCGACAAAATTTGCTTTATAAATGATTAAAATAAACCCCTCTATGTCGATCACGGTAATGTCGAATACCCCGGTTATCTCAAAGTAAAATTGTGTACCCATTCATTAAAATCACATGCGTTATCTCGAAGTCAGGATAATTTTCCGCTCTGATGATCAAGTCCGTTATGTAAACTGAATGCTCTATTGATAACAACCACCTGTCTGTCACGCTCGGGTTACCTGTGTTCCTGTGATCAACAGATAATAGCATGATAATTATACAAAGTGTATATATGGCTTACCTTGATTTTAATTATGCAAGCCAAAGGTTGTGTGTATTAGTCTAATGCATACGCGTGGATGACATGTTAATTGTTTTGTGGCTTGGGTACGTTAATCTTGATAATCGCTCTTTAATGCTGTGAAATATGTGCGCATACATAGTTTATGCATACGAAAGTGAAAATTATAAACATCGAAGTAAAACAAAATTCTGTAATTTAATGCAATTAGAATTTATTTTTCCTATATGAGCGTGGAGAATTTACAATCGTCCGTACACACCATCATGTGAGCGTGTGTCGCAGTGAAAACTTGTGCTATAGTACCCAGTGATTCAGTGTTGTTCTGTTGTTAGACAAAAGTGCATGATTCTTCTTTTGCATTTGATCTTATTATGGTAAAATAATTTTCTTTTAACTGGTTATACATGTATGAACATGTTTTTCCAATAAAAGAAAATGTATATTTCGTTTTCGTTATTCTGACAGCAACCGGTTTTAAATTTACAATGCAAAGACGATATCCGGTTATGTATACATGGAAAGCGATGCTAGCGGTTGACTTGCCGTGTTGGTAGTTCTAAGGATTATACTTCTGTGCATAATATATAATTAAAGTTTTTATTTTGTGAATTATAAAGAGGATGTAAAAATCTTTTTATTGCTAAATACATGTACATGTATAAATAAGAAATTGTATACAGAATTTGGAATTTGACATGTTTTAACTATTAAGTACATGTTCGCTGCACTAAATTTATTTGAAGTTCATTTGAATTATAACCTTCAATATGTCGAACCCCCGGATATCTCGAAGTTCATCAACAGTCCCGTCAACTTCGAGATAACGAAGTTTAACTTTATATACATTTATACATTGTAGATGGAATTTAGCTGTCTTAACTGTTTTCTTGATTGTAACTTCCCTTCAAAAAGCGTTTTTACACATTGATGGAAATTTTATGTAAAAAGGAAAACAATTACGCGCACCAAAAATAAAGTAATATTTTGCACTGTTTGTGTGCACTTCTACCGATTACTTTTCAATGTATTTTTTCTAGTGAGCCAAACACCTAAGGAATCTATGTAAAAAAATATTCACAATTCCCCGCAAATAAAAATGAAAATAATGACTTTTTAGCTCACCTGAGCTGAAAGCTCAAGTGAGCTTTTCTGATCACCCGTTGTCCGTCGTCCGTCCGTCCGTCCGTCTGTCTGTCCGTCCGTCCGTCTGTAAACTTTTCACATTTTCAACTTCTTCTCAAGAACCACTGGGCCAATTTTGACCAAACTTGGTACAAAGCATCCTTGGGTGAAGGGGAGTTTAAATTGTTAAAATAAAGGGCCAAGCCCCCTTCCAAGGGGAGATAATCAAGAAAGACAAAAAAAGGGTGGGGTCATTAAAAAATCTTCTTCTCAAGAACCACTGGGCCAGAAAAGCTGAAACTTACATGAAAGCATCCTAGGGTAGTGTAGATTCTAAATTGTTCAAATCATGACCCCCAGGGGTAGGGCGGGGCCACAATAGGGAATCCAAGTTTAACATTGAAAAATGTAGAAAAAATCTTTAAAAATCTTCTGATGAAGAACCACTGGGCCAGAAAAGCTGAAACTTATGTGGAAGGATCCTGGGGTAGTGTAGATTCGAAATTGTTCAAATCATGACCCCCAGGGGTAGGGCGGGGCCACAATAGGGAATCCAAGTTTTACATTGAAAAATGTAGAAAAAAATCTTTAAAAATCTTCTTCTCAAGAACCACTGGGCCAGAAAAGCTGAAACTTATGTGGAAGCATCCTGGGGTAGTGTAGATTCTAAATTGTTCAAATCATGACCCCCAGGGGTAGGGCGGGGCCACAATAGGGAATCCAAGTTTTACATTGAAATATGTAGAAAAAAATCTTTAAAAATTTTCTTCTCAAGAACCACTGGGCCAGAAAAGCTGAAACTTATGTGGAAGCATCCTGGGGTAGTGTAGATTCTAAATTGTTCAAATCATGACCCCCAGGGGTAGGGTGGGGCCACAATAGGGAATCCAAGTTTTACATTGAAAAATGTAGAAAAAATCTTTTAAAATCTTCTTCTCAAGAACCACTGGGCCAGAAAAGCTGAAACTTATGTGGAAACTTCCTGGGGAAGTCCAGATTCTAAATTGTTCAAATCATGACCCCTGGGGTAGGGCGGGGCCACAATAGGTATTACAAGGGGGAAATCGGGTGAAAAACAGCAAGGCCAAAGTTACTCAGGTGAGCGTTGTGGCCCATGGGCCTCTTGTTTAATTGTTTGTTTGATCATTCAGAACGTAAAAGGAATGGGAGAGGATATGAAAGCATGAGAGATTTATAAAATCAAACTCATTTGTTTAAAAGTGTGATAAGTGAATATTTAAAATAATATTTGTATTCAGTTAGGAAAATTAAAAGAAAAAAAACATATGTACGCTTATTCTTTAAAAAAAAATACAGAAAGGCCTTTATGGCGACACAACCGAAATATTTTTTTTCATCCTTGTTATACAGTGTTTGTTGATATGTTCGATTTATTTCCAAGTTACTGAACCATAAGGCTATGTTGTACAAAAGAAGATAATAAATAGACAACTAAAATCATTTTATTTCAAAAATTGAAAGTAGTTCATATAGAAAGTAAATTAAAAAAGATACAGTTAATAAGATGACTAGTTACATGTACATGTAATAACGAAAATACAGCAGTAAAAAGGAAATATTTATGACAGCTTTTAACTTAAAACAACTTATTTAAAAATGCTTGCAACACCGTCCTTCCAAGAAATAAACAACTTTATGAAGTAGCCAATCATAAACTAAAGCGTACAGGCTCCGCCCACTTAATTTACATACCGTTCACCAAAGCGTACCGTTCACAAAACGAACCGTTCCGTGCAAGAAGCATACTGTACCTTGCACAAAACAAACCGTACCGTACACAAAACGAACCGTTCCGTGCAAGAAGCGTACAGTGCACAAATTAAAGCAAACCGTACCGTTCACAAAGCTTACAGTTCCGTGCAAGAAGCAAACCGTACCGTACACAAAACGAACCAAACCGTGTAAGTGGTGTACAGTGGCTGCAACGTTATTGACAACTTACACGAACGATCACGTTACACGGACGATTCCGCATGATTAATGCACGATAAAACCTGTTACACGAATGATCCTTCACGCACACGATTCTACACGTTACACGATCTTATACAATTGCTAATGCATACGCACGATTCTTCGCGCAAAATAGTTCAAATTCTTTAGGAATGGATATTTTCAAAACAAAATAATGGTTATTTCTTCTTTTAGATTTCAAATAATTATTGATATTATTTCATCGACTTTGAAAAATGAAAAAAAAAAATAGAAATGGATATTTCTGGAACTAAATACATTTGTACATGTAAGACATTTATTTTAGATTACAAATAATTATTTACGTAATTCTCCGACTTGAGAAAACTTATTTTTTTCGCTCTATCAGAAGATGTACATGTAGATGAACTGTGAGTTTTGATAGAATCGGTTTTCATAATATGCAGAAAGGGATAAGTTTGAAAAAAAGGGCATAAAAATGAATTAAACTATATAAGCTATATCCATGTTTCCATTTCTGAATCTCTAAAATCAACAATTATTTCACAAATCATTTATTTGCAGAAATTATAAAAATAATTAAAAGTAAGCTCCAGAGATGAACAATGATAAAAGAAACCCCGACAATCATGTCGTGAACATGTACATTCACCGACGAAATATTTATGTAAGCATTGAGAATTGGTTATTTATTTATTTGTAAAAATATCTATTTTTTATCTATTGATTTTTAAAATAGCTTGACCATAATTAGCAGTAAACATAATCAACATTCGAGAAAAAAATCCTTAAACATCTAAGTACGGTTTATCATAAAAAAAATCACGCTATTTGACGAGAACACAATATTGTACGACTTACTATATTGCTCATTTCCAAGCAATAATTAGTTCGTTCTGCTTTTAATTATGATTATGTAAATTGCCCTTCATTTATTTTATTTGGATTAAAAAAAAAAACAGACAAGCAAAATGCTTGTATAACAAATAACATTCCGATAAAAACTTACAAAACGAAATTTACACGTTTCTTAACGCACGATCATGCACGATTAAAACCGCAAACGATTGAGTCTGATACACGCACGATCTCACACGTTACACGAATGATCACGCACGTTACACGAATGATTCTACTTGATTGGTTTGTCAACAATAAGTTGCAGCCACTGTAGTAGCACATTTTAGGGTCTGTAATAAGTGTAGGATCTAAGCGAAACTGGGTTCTGGTTGATGGGAGATACCTTTTACAAAAAGGCAGAAAATAATGTGTTCATCCCTTATTGAGATTTTTATTAATTTTTAATTTAATTTTGAAAAAAAAATTTCCCTCCCTCCCTACTGGGTCTGAAACCTCGCAGAAGGCAATTCCAATCGAACAATTTTTTAAGGATGGCCCTATCCAACTACAAAACACTGAATATCCTCAAATACAAAAAGTACTTTCATATTTTTTATTGGTCAGATAGGGTTGTAAACGATAGATAAAGAGGTAAAAATACCTCATCTTGAATTGTTTCTAAGAACATTTTTTGACAAACAAACCCTCTGAAAATCGAAAAAAATGTCTATATTTGAGACTGGAAGTGACATTATCAAAACAAAAGAATATGTCTATGGAGAAGTTGCTTATTTTTCAAATCTGAAAGTTTAATGAAAATTGATAGAGCCATTTTCAAGAAATCCTGTGCAAAAAATCGGTAAGAAAAAAAAAATAGGAAAAAAGAAACAGTAGAGTAACAGAAAGGTCCTCTGTTGGAGACAGAGAGATAAAAAGAAATAGTAGAATAACAGAAACGTCTTCCATTGGAGATGGAATACTTTATTAAGGTATTCAATTAATTCATCTAAGCTAAATGAAAAGTTAAGTATATTGAATTGATTACAAATTGAGTTATAAACTTGAGATTTCAGTTAGATCTAAGGGCAAATCACTCTAACTGCATAGAAATACCATGGGATGGAATTAGAACTTTTAAGTGAGCAGTGTATTGAGGGTTCTTCAGCACTATTGTAATGGTTGGTGATAGTGATGGAGTGAAGATAGCCTCAACATATTACAGGCAAGTTTCCAAGTTGTTACTGATTACCAGACTGACTATACAAGTTGAATTTTTAGTGAGATGCAAATTTAGCAATTTGTCCTTGAAAATCAGTATTTAATTTTAGCTAGAAGTAATTTTATTGATTTTATGATGCATAGAAAAATAATGATAACCTCTAATGCAAAATAAATTGTTAGTTAATTTTAATTTTTGCAATTTCAACACCCACACTCAAAATGCCAAAATTGAACCCTCGCTAAAATTTCTGCTTATACGGAATTTTGTTGAGCCCTGATATCCTTCTTCTTTCAGTTTATTTTGTGTTATTATATAATTATTTACCATTTCATGAATCCATAATAGGGTTGTATTATACTTAGGTAACCATTAAGGCCCTTGGGCCTCTTGTTTAAGGAGATGTGATCAGCATACACATCATTATGAAGTTCACCATTAGATGAGATGTCCAACTCTCATTCAGGAGTTATGACCAAGGTTGAAGTTTTTATGTCTGGATAGAGGAACAAGATTTAATGTCACTGTGCTTACATAAGAGCTGGGGACAAAATCTGAGTATTTCTTTGTTTTTCAGAATATCCCGTTTGTGCCCCCTCCTCCCCCCCTTATTGCTGAGGACCCATTGGATGGTGATAATGAGGTTATGTGTTCCATGTTAATGGCTTGGTACATGAGTGGATACCACACTGGTTACTATCAGGTACACTACAGAAGAAAAAGCACTTCAAATCTTAGAAAAAAGGAATATGCTTCAGATGACTTGTGTCATGTAGATGTTTTTAGGCTCAATCTAAATTAATTAGTTTATTTGATATTCAGAGTAATTAAAATATGAAGATAATTCTTCTTATGTTTTTTGTTTTTTTTTTGTTTTTTAAATTAACAAGAAGTACATATATCTGCAAACTTTATAGCAGGAAATTAACTCATAAAGTTTATTTTCAAAATACCCGGGTAAAATGTCTACAATTCAACATACAGTAATTTTTAATGAAAAATGATATGAGATATTCTTATAGTAACCTAAAGCTTAATGTCTCGCTGTTCTAAATTTCATTTAAAAAATTCCAATGTTAACTTTGATTTTTATCAACAACAAAAGCATTAGATTCAAATGGAAAAAAGGTTTAAAGTATGATGCATGGCTTACTTTTTCAGAAATTAATTTTATGTCTAACCATGTTATGAAGAAAAATTGACAAAGTGAATAGAAAAAGCACTAGTTTATAATTACAATGTAAAATTAAAAATATGAAGTATATAAAAAAACTAATATTTTAGTGTCATACATATTAAATTCATATCAGAAAAATTCATGATGCTTTTTAAGTTGGAATATCGTTGTTTATCTTATTTTTTTCTCTTTTTTTAAAATGAAAAAATACACTACTAATAAAAAATACTCTATATAGCACACTGTAAATTATACAACTTTTAAAGTCCTTATAAAGAAATTAATATTTTAATTTGTAACATAAAAATAAACTGGGTGCAAAAATTGAAGATAGATAACTATCAAATAATTAAGCAAAAAAAAAAAAAAAAAATAAAATAAAATAAAATTGAAGCCAATGTTAGAAACCTTTTGGCTTTCTACTTAAGGGTGTGATTGCCATGTAGGAATATTACAGTTAATCAAATAAATGGCTAACACCTGATGAAACAATTTTTTCAATATTTTTGGATTTATATTCTTCAGAAGTCTCTCATATCATAAGGACATTAGACCTTAATTATGCAATCTTTTGACATATCATTTTAAATACAGTGTATGATAGCCATAAACGTTTGAACAGAAATAAATGTGAATCATCAGTTAATGCTACTACCATAACATTTCTTCTAAACAGATAACATTTATTTCTCTATTTTATTGCATGAATTACCATAGAAAAAATAAATTTATCTTTGTAAATGAAGAAAATGTTGGACAAATGACAAGACAACAATGTAAACACCAGCTAAATTAGGTGGCACAATCAATATCCCCACGATGACTCAAACCAAGTAAGCCTTCATCTTACACTGATTGTTGTCCAGTAACTTTTGCATAGTATGTTTCATAGTAAAATTGACTATCATGATTTTTCAGATTGTTCCTTTTTCCTTTTAGTGAATTCAGATGACTACTTTTCTGCAAATTGAGCAAATTACAATCTTCCACTCATGATTTTAACCTGCTTTACAGTATTTTCATAGGAAATGTCTTGTAACATGTCTTATTACATTTTCAACAGTGAAATACTGTAATCTATTTACTGAATAAAAGTGATATTCTGACACAGTGTGAAAGCATGGTATTCTCACAGTGTGAAAATATCAGAAGTGCGGCAAAACCTACGATTTTCGTTCCCTTCACGAAGAGTGTTTTTTAAATAAATCCTTGGCCTGTTATACGATAGAGTTAATGAGCCATCCTGACAAAGACTAATAGTTATTCTGCCAAAGTTTTTCCAAATATGTCGTTAAATATCCATGTTTACAACGTTTTTCAATCTCGCAATCGCTTAGCTATGATGTTTCAACCGCTCAACTATGACGTCACAGCCTATATGACACTGTGCTACAAAAGAGAGGGAAAGGGAAAATCTAAGAAAATGTAATAAACAGAAAATTCAATGTTTTGTAGATAGATATGGAATTTCTTTCACTCGTGAGACATGATTATTTGATATTTTCACTTGTGCTTCGCACTCATGAAAATATCAAAAAATCATATCCCACTCGTGAAATAAATTCCATATTCATCTATAAAACATGGAATATCCTCTATATATACAACATATGATTGCAATTCTTCACATTTAAAATTAAATTCTTGACAATTAGTACTTTACAATTTTTTTTGTTTTAATTTACCAGGGTATGAAGCATGCAAGGCAACAAGATCATCGAGGAACATCCCCATGTTCAGACTCAGTCAGATAACCAGTTCATAGGATTCAATTAAACAATGACTTTTTAAGAACTCTAATAAATTGGCTCCAACAGTTCATAGGATCACTCTTTTGAGGAAAATGCAAACATAATTTTATGCAAATCTTACAGAGTGCAAATTGTGTCAAAAACAATGAGCTGAGGTATCGGGGGAAAATGATGACACTATAGATTGCAGTCACCTGACATTTTCTGATCAAACTTTGTCTGTAATCAACGTCTTCGTCTTCCTTTAAGTTCTTTGTCATAAATTTTCTTCTCTAGAACCACTGGACCAATTTCAACTAAACTTGGACTGAGTTTCATCGGCTGAAAGGGATTCAAATTATATTCATAAACACCATCTTCCAAAGGAATATAATAAAAAAAAAAAAGAAAGAAAAATGGGTGGGGTCATTTAAAAATATTTTTTTCAAGAACCAATGGACCAAAAAAAATAATCTTGTATGAAATCTTTCTGAATATAGAGCAAATTCAAGTTTTTTCAAGTCATGTCCCAGGAAGGTAGTGTGGCATCACATTTGGTGATTAAAATTGTACAAAGGGATACTAGGAAAAATCTTTGAAAGTCTTCTCTAAAACAGCAAAGTTATGATTAGTCATATTTATATGGAAGCATCCTCAGATAGTGTAGATTCAAGTTTGTTCAAATCATTACCCTCTTGGGTAGAGTAGGGGCACAATGAAGAATCAAAGTTTTACATAGAAGTATTTAGGGGGGAAATTCTCCCAGGAACACCATAGGCAAGATATCCTCAGGTAGTGCAGATTCAACTTTGTTAAAACCAGGCTGGGGGTAAGGTGTGGCCACAATATGTTATCTTAGTTTTACATTTGAGAAATAAACAACAATGTTAAAAAGTTCTTTGGGAAATGAACTTGGTTGGTCACGTGATCAAATCCTGTGAAGCCCAAAGGGCTTCTCTGAAGATTTGATCACATACCAACCAAGTTCATTCAGTGAACTTTTTAACATTGTTGTTTATTACTTTTATTTACATTTGAGACGAATATTCTGAAAAGAACTGCATTTATTACACGAACGGCCCGCCGTATTGCTATGTTGTGATGCGCAATGACCTAGAAGCTGTTTGGTCTTGAGAGTTCGCCTCGCTCCAACATTTGAATATTTACATTGATGTTCAGCAGTCCAGTTCAGGAAATATCTGTTCATAATGAAAAAAAACAATGATCGCTACTGAGAATAATTTTACTATTATTGTATGAGTTCTTTATACATGAAGCCAAAAGCGGTGGTATCGTCTTCAGTTTACATACCTTCAAAGGAATTTCGGGTTAAAAAGGTAAGCGTGATTTTAGGCAAATAAAAAACATTCTTCACACCGAAGAAAGAACTAATGATTATTTGTTGAACCAAAAAAAAAAAACATATATGTTTCAATAATTTTATCTTTTTCATCGCTTTAACGGCTTGGAAGTTCCGAAACCAGTGTCACCAGGACAGAAATACGTAGACAAGATATCATCTCGCTGTGTGATTCGGTCATGCCATGACCTCTGACCCCCTAAGTTAATTTAAGAAATAAGGTATCATTTTATAAGTTTTATCGGGATGTAAATACGGGTTGGTCATGTGATCAAATCCCATAAAGCCCGAAGGGCCTTATCGATGAATTAAAAAAAAAAAATGACCAAATGCATATTTATCAACCCACACTAAAAATGCAGGCAATGAAATTAGATTTCTATGTCTCAGCATATGTCTTTAGATAGTGTCTAAATACCTGCCAAATATCTCGTTGATATCTCAGTTAACAAAAAAGTTATGCCCAAAAATGATGCTAAAATTGTCAGGAGTGCAACACCTTTTTGTGACATTTTGAAATTTCAATATTTTTTGGAGATCTGTGAAATAAATAATAATATTATACTTTCATGTAAATAAGTTGAATCTGATTCGTTGAGAAACATTTGTTAAAAAACACTATTACCCGCTGAATGATGAAGCCACTCCACCAGCGTATCAACAGTCAACATTGCTTAACGACAGGAGTAGTGACTGCGCAGAATTTATGCGCGCAAAGTTCACTGTTATATGTATTTGTATAAAACATTCAGTATGACATAATAATTATTGCATGTAGTTGAGTGTAACATTGAAAATTTTCACCCCTCGAAAACCATTGTCGGTTGACAATGGTTTTTGAGGGGTGAAAATTTTCAATGTTACACTCAACTACATGCAATATTTATATAATGCTTTATGTTGAAAATAAAAACTTTCCTGATAATATTCGAAGTATTGAGCTTTAAATGTGGACTGTAGTAACTTTTGTTTAATCAAGTTGTGGTCATGGCTGATGTTTAAAAAATGTTATTCTATGTCAGGAGTGCAACAGAAAAAATGTAGTGTTACGAAAAAAAACATCAATTGTAAAATTCTGAAAGAAAATTAAGACAAAAAGGAATTTTCGAAGTGTAAAATAATAACTGATATACATTTTAAAACTTAAAAATGTTATATAAATCACAAGCAGCATTAATGAGAGTCAAGTACATGTACATGTGCATATACCCAATAATGTCAGGAGTGGAACATTTGATGTTTTGCTCCCAAGCATGAAAAAACTATTATCGTATGATATTATGATTTTTATTTTGGAAAATAAAGACACAAAGAACATTTTTACCAAATAGATTTATCAATTACAGGATCTATCTGTGCTTCAGATCTATATTTCTATGGTCAGGAGTGCAACGCATTTTTTAAAGATTCAAGTTGTGTGACGAAAACACTTCTATTCATGCTTAGAAGTATTCATTAATTAATAATTATCTTTTTGTATAATTTAATATTAAATTATTGACAGTTTTGTTATTAAAATCCTTCCTTTTTCAGTTTTATGAATTCAGATGTGTTTTTATCTTTTTCGTGACTTATTAATGAACGTTAATAACAAACACACTAAAAAATTGTCATAAAATTCAAGTGATTCCTCCTCAACTTCAATGAAACAACAGAGCAAGTTCTTGTGTAATTTTCACTTCACAATTCTACTTTAAAGGCCCCAATGCTTTTGGTCAGGAGTGCAGCAAATATGTTAGAATTATAAATCATCCAATAAGAATAAAAATAAAGAAAAAATGATGAGTAGAATTTTTCTGGTGGGTTACCGTGTTTGTCCTCTAAAGGAAAAAAATGCTATAAAATATATTTTATCTTCTAAATATACATTTAAGCTGGTTTTTTGGCACAAATAGGGAATAATTCCAGATAAAATGGGATTTTAAACGCTTTCATTTGTTTTAATTGTGAAGTATTGAACTATAAATATTGCACAATTTCATAACAACTTGATGTTGCCAACACTTTAAGAATTTTTGTGTTCTATGGTTTTAATTTTAAATTTTACTGCAGTCAGGAGTGCAACCAATCTGCTTTAGAATTACCAATGCTTTTTAACTATCTTTACTAAAAAATAAGTTGAAAAGAAAATTTTTTTTGATACTATTTGATGTTCAAAACACTGTGTCTATCAACAAATTACAGAAATTTTACAGCCAATCCAGGGAATAGTTTTCATCATTTCACATATATTGTTAAATACAATTTATATATATTACACTTTGCAAATAATCATGTTTGAAGGTCTTCATAATATGAAAAACCTGCCGTAAACGATGAAAAATATCAAAACGACAAATTGATTTACAAAGTAAGAATGGGTTATTGTTCGTTATAATTTTTAAAACAATGTAAAATAAAATACATATTAGATGTCAGGAGTGCAACACAATCATGTAACATAAGGTCACTTGAAAATCTAGTATTTTTTGTAAGAGAACTCGTATATAAAAATTCTTTTTAGCTCACCTGAGCTGAAAGCTCAAGTGAGCTTTTCTGATCACCCGTTGTCCGTCTGTCCGTCCGTCCGTCTGTAAACTTTTCACATTTTTAACTTCTCAAGAACCACTGGGCCAATTTTAACCAAACTTGGTACAAAACATCCTTGGGTGAAGGGGAGATTAAATTGTTAAAATGAAGGACCAAGCCCCTTCAAAGGGGAGATAATCAAGAAAAGACAAAAATTGGGTGGGGTCATTAAAAAATCTTCTTCTCAAGAACCACTGGGCCAGAAAAGCTGAAACTTATGTGGAAGCATCCTGGGATAGTGTAGATTCTAAATTGTTCAAATCATGATCCCCGAAGCTAGGGCGGGGCCACAATAGGGAATCCAAGTTTTACATTGAAATCTATAGGAAAAATCTTTAAAATCTTCTTCTCTAGAACCACTGGGCCAGAAAAACTGAAACTCACGTGGAAGCATCCTGGGGTAGTGTAGATTCTAAATTGTTCAAATCATGACTCCTGGGGGGTAGGGCAGGGCCACAATAGGGAATTTAAGTTTTACATTGAAATATGTAGAAAACATCTTTAAAAATCTTCTTCTCAAGAACCACTGGGCCAGAAAAGCTGAAATTTATGTGGAAGCATCCTGAGATAGTGTAGATTCTAAATTGTTCAAATCATGACCCCCGGGGTAGGACGGTGCCACAATAGGGAATCCAAGTTTTACATTGAAATATGTAGTAAAAATCTTTTTAAAAAATCTTCTTAAGAACCACTGGGCCAGAAAAGCTGAAACTTATGTGGAAGCATCCTGGGGTAGTGTAGATTCTAAATTGTTCATATCATGACCACGGGGGTAGGGGGGGGGGGCTGGGCCACAAAAGGTATAACAACGTAGGAAATCAGGTGAAGAAGAGCAGGCTAAAGTTACTCAGGTGAGCGTTGTGGCCCATGGGCCTCTTGTTTGGCTTAGATTTAAAGAATTGACTTGAACGGACAAAAAAAGTGAATTTTGGGGAATTTTATTGCTTCATATTTTTTTCATATTAAAACTTTTCAAACCAGAATTGAAAAAATAATGTAAAATAACAATCAAAAAGCCAATTTCTTGTCACATATACAAGATATTCAATCAAAGTCTAGATTTAATCATTTATACCCCTTTACCATTTTGAAGCATAAAAAAACTATAATTTCTTGTGATTATGTATTTTAGAAAGTCTTTTAATGTGTAAGATATTTTCTTTTTTTAAAAGAAATTTTACTAATGAAACTTTTTAATCCAATAGTCTATTCT